CATCTCGCCATCTCTCCCGGAGGACCGCAGCAGGCCCGTGTTGTTGCACCAGATCATCCATTAGCTGCTTGTTTCCAGGCCTCTTTGCGGGTGGGAAGAGTCCAGGAAGATTTCCTCCTCTGACAACTGAGCCCATGTGTCCAGTTGCTGGCGTCAGAGGATGCTGACCTGGGTTCCGGGTGCTGGTTCTGGTGTGTAGTGTGCTAGGCACTCACCAAACCCCACAGGTACAGCCAGAAGACTGGGTTTGTGAGTCTCTGTCCCATTTCTTTGGGATAGAACTTCTCTTGAACATCAGCCAGAGTCCAGTGCCCACCTTGGGTTTGAGCCCACCATGTCATCCGTGGAGTTCAGCTTCTCTGGGCTATTTCCTCACCTGTAAAATGAATGATAAGACCTAATTGTTAGGGTTCAGCAGAGAATGAGGTGAGATAACATGCATCAAATCCTTAGCGTGGAGGGAGCTCTCCACCCGAGCAGAGTGGGCAACACCATGGCCTGACTGGGTCACTGAGCCCCATGAGAAGTGGAAGGCATGTGAAGACTCAGGCCCGGTGGTCACTGTCTCAGTTTCCCATTGACCTGAGCAGCCCTCAGAGTCCTTTTTGTCCCCTGTATAGATTGGGGGTGGTCCCTGTTTCTTGCCAGGGCTCACACCTTCAGGGACTTTGTGGTGACAGCTGTCTCAGAACAGGATGGTCAGGTCAGTCTTCTGGACAGCACTGTGGGTGAGGGCTGGGAGAGCTCTCTGGGTCTTGTGGCACCTTGGGCTGAAGAAGCAAAAACTCTGTCTTGCTTTAAGAGTCTCCCTCCTCTAGAGTATCTTCGTGGAGCCCCACTGCAACTGTGTGGGGCGTGGCCCCCATTTTCAGATGAGGAAGCAGAGACCCAAGGTATAGGGGCACCTTGTTGAGTCAAGGCAGTCTGGCAAACTAGAAATCTTGGACGCAAGCTCCTGACTGGCTGTGCCCACAGCTGGCCCCCCACCAGGCCTCAGGATGCCATCTAAGGAGCAGAGCCGCCCTGCAGGGGGTGCAGCCTGAATGCTTGCCTCTTTTCCCGCAGGGGCAAGGATCTGAAAGAGCAGCACGAGCAGAAAGTGTGTGAGAGGGAGATGCAGCGAATCACCCTGCCCCTGTCTGCCTTCACCAACCCCACCTGCGAGCTCGTGGACGAGAGGACCGTGGTGGTCCACGCCAGCCAGACTCCGGTCGGCCTTCAGGAGGGCAGTGCCCCTCTCATGGGCCAGGCAGGCACTCCAGGCGCCTGAGCCCCCGACCCTGGGCAGGAGCCCACACAGACACTGGTGCAGGACCACCTACCCTCCTGTGGCTGGGAGGATCGACACTTTCTGTTGTGGTTAAAACCCCTCACTTTTTTTTTGGTTCCATTTGTTTTTGGTGAATCCTAAGACACAAGCAGGGGCACTGTGGGCTGGAGTGAAGCTGGGTAGGGTCCTGCCAGGGCTCTACCTCCACCCCTTGGAGTAGGGTTTTGCCTGTGGATGAAGACAGCGGCGGCCCCCACTGCAGTGCTGCTGACAGGGGCTCCCAGACGTTGCCTTGCCCCGGAACTGAACCAGGGACAGATGGGGAGCTCCCCCAGCTCCCCTGTGCTTCATTGTCCAAGACGGCCTCAGCCTCAGCCTCTGCCTCTGCTGTTGTCCTCCGTGGGCTTGAGTGGCACACACTGTTAGTCATAGTTCAGGTCAAGTCAGTCAGGAGGCAGCATTTTAAAAGTATATTTAGTTTTTTTAATATTTGGGATGCAATTCCCTACTGACCTCTGAGAAACGAGTCTGTACGAAAGTCAGAACTGTGGGTTGAGGATGGGGTTGAGGCGGGGTGGGGGGCTGTTGACAGTGATGTGCCTTGACAACCCTGGGCCAGGTGCAGGCCCAGGGACTCTTCCTGTTTCGAGAGGAAAGGAAGGGAAGAATCGCACTGAACATTCCAGAGGAAGAGGGTGGAGAAGGACCCACAACTGCCTCAGGCCATGGGGCTGTAGTGGACCTGGGATGCCCCAGACAGTATCTATTCAGGGTGGACCGTGGCCCCTGCATTTTTCAGGGGTGAAACAGCAGCTAGTGGACCTACCGGAATTACACTGTGGGTGGGGCCTTGTGAGCTGCAGCCGAAGAGAGGTTGACCTGGAAACCAGCTGAGGCAGGTGACAGATGCTTCAGGACTTGTCCCTGCCGTGGTCTGGGTCTGCAGGTGTCTGTGGCCTCTAGGTCAGCGCCTTCCTGTGGGGTAGTAGGGCTAGGGTCACAGCCCTTAACTTGTAAAACAATCAGAGAACCATTGGAAGGGACCTTAGGGTTCCTCAAGCCTTTTGGACAGAGGGGCTCAGTGGGGGAAAGTGACGCTTAGGGTCACAGGGGAAGTGCTGGTGCAGCCGAGAGGAGGGTAGCGTTTCCCCAGGCACCTGCTGCACTGTTCCTGTGGCTTGGCAGGGCCTCCAAGCCCTGATGTCACACTTGGAGGCCTTAGCAGTGCTCCCTGTCCATAGACCTTCCTTCCCAAAGCCCTTCCAACTGCCTGATGTGGAGAGGCGGTTAATGGTACCCAGTCTCAGCAGGCTGTTCCTGGGAGCGATTTGCTGAGGGGACCTAGGCCTCAGGGGGTCCCTTAGTGGCAGCGATGCAGAAGGGAACATTACTGGTTTCTACTTTTCTATAAAAGCACTTCTCTGTGTACATGTTTTATATACCTCATTCTGACACCTGCGTATAAAGTGCAGGAAATGGCTCTGCATTTGACTTACAGAAATAAATTTGGGGAAAAAAAAAGACTCCATGTTGCCAAGTTTTTGTAAGGTGCCAGGAAACTCCTCCCAAAAGTTGGGAAGTTTTTGGTTACCTTGTCCACACCTGTGTGGCGAGCTCCTTCGCCCTGGCCCTGCACCTGGGAGGTGGCAACACCTGAATGCTTGGTAACCGCAGCCTCCACACAGTCATCACCAGGAATCTTTCAGGTTGAAGCCGCAGGAATGGTGGGGGTGCAGCGGCCCGAAGGGCAGTCAGTCACTGCGAATTCTCTCCCCTTCAGCATTCTTTCCGAGGTGGAGGTAGTTGAACATCCAGGCAGCCCTTGGCAGGCACTGGAGACCGGGGTGGGGGTGGGGTGCTGCCAAGGGATGGATGGGTGTGTATGGGGGAATGGGTCCTGGGCTCCCAGGAGCATCTCTGGGCTGAGGAAGGTCCCTGTGGGGGTGGCTCCTTGGGCTCCAGAAGCAGCTGCCCACAGGATTTTGCTGGGCTTTTAAGTGGGGATTTCACAGCAGGTTATCAGCCTCTCAGGTACCCAGGGTGACCTCTGCCCACACCAAGACAGCGCTCTGCAGCTCTACAAGCAAGGGGCACCCTAGAGCATCAGTTTTTTCCAGGAACCAGATCCTGTCCTTAAGTTGGACTCTAGCTTTGGGAGAAATCACCTTTGGGTACATGGATACATACTGTGTCCAAGATCCCACTAGCCAGATCACCCTGCCCCTCCACAACAGGTCCCCTGTGCAGAAGCAAGAAGCACACCCTCCACACGCATCTCCCTGAGCCAAGCTGCAAGTCACTTTTTCACTCTCAGTATCATCAGTTACGTTAACTGCTTAATTTATTTGGTCTGCTCAATGGCCCAGCTTGGGCCCACCACTCCCATGCTTGCTGGGGACCGCTGAGGCACAACCAGCCCCCTGATGCCAACTTGCTGTCGTTGGGAGCCCAGGGCTCGAGCCTCCAGCAAACCTGCACACTCCACACCTAAGTATGGTCTACACAGCAAGGAAACTCTGGCCAGAGATGACATCTAACCGCACAACTCACCAGGTCTATGTACAGTATTTCACATATCACCCCACAGATACAACAACAAGATAGTTTTAACAGCAACCATCCTTCTGGATCACTCCCCCCGCCTCCTCCCCCCACCCCCGATACAACCACCACATACTGCAGTAATATCCCAAACCCACTGCTAATTTGTTAAATAGGCTGCAAGGTCACATTTAGGTGGAGGCAAATCTACTTGTGTTGAAGACCCCCTAGCTCTGGGAGCCGGGTGGAGGGTGTCCCCAGCACTCAGAGAGGATGTGCTGTGGCTCAGGAGGCTGGGGCCAGGAGCTTGTGAGCTGGGCCAGCCAACACGGAAGGTAGAAGCCGGAGAGCCCAGCTGGGGGAGCGGCCTTCCCCAGCACCTCCACTCTGGGATTCTGCCACCACCTCTCCCCACCCAAGTTGCTGCCTGCACTAGGCACAGTGAGGGGTGAGCAGTGGCTGCCAAAAGGGTAGGGCCAGGAGATTGCTGTGATTCCCACCCCCTGCCCCATAGGCTGGGCCTGCGACGAGCCACACCGTCCTCCAGAACGCACTGAGCAAAATGTCTGGGGCTTCTGACAGAGGTGCCCACCAGGGAATGAGCGACAGCAGCCAGGATCCTAGGATACAGGGCTTTCTAGAGGGCAGGGCCGCCTTCCTTCCAACCTCAGCCTCTTCCTGCACTTGCGGCTGACTCCTTGTTGCAGGCAGAAAGGATGTTCCCCAGAAGATCTCAGTCTCCAGCAGCACAGTTTGAGAACACAGGCGGGAGCTCCCCCTTGAGTTGATGTGGCCCCTGGGCTCAGGAAGTGAACAGAAACCAGCCCTTCCCCCGATTCCTGGTCAGATCCACCAAAGACAGACTAAGGGACTCTTCAAAACCTACTCCCTCAACCCTTGTCCCGGGGAGGGCGGGACATGGAGTGCAAGGCAGTAGCACCACTGTCATCTTTCATCGCTGGATTGCTGCTTTCGCTCCTCCATGCTTGCACATGAAGTCCTCCTCCACCCGCTGGATCAGGGGCTTCAGAGCCCACAGGCAGGTTCACCTGGGATCCTGCCCAGCAGGTCCAGGTCCCACTGATTAGTGTAAGTACAAGAGCCTCCCGGAATCCCACCGCCAGGGAGTTCCGGAGTGGTCACCAGTAACAGATTCCTCCTGGCACAGGGACCAGGCTTTTTGTTTTTGTCTTTTTTTTCTTCTTCACAGCTTTTAGGCGAGTGCTGGATTTACAGACAGTAACCAGGTCCCAGAACCTAGGAGATGCGCTGCCCTGGTGCTGCCCCCGCTCGCCTCCTGGGGAGGTAGAAGGGATGGCTTGTTCTGCTTCTAAACAAGCTGCCAATCCACAGGAAGCCCGGACGGCCCTGCCCACAGCAGGGGTGGGGCACAGAGGGGGCAGTGCTGGCTGTGGAACGCCCCCCCGCAGGGGGCTGGGCCAGGGCTAGGGGGGCGAGTCCCGGGTCAGGCCATATTGCACGCTCACAGTGTGGTCCAGCTCCTCCAGCTCTGCAGGCAGCGGGATGCCCAGCTCCCCCAGGTACAGGGAGAGGGCCTCAAAGGAGTCCTCCAGTTTTGAGAATGCCGGTCTAGAAAGAAAAGGAGTTGGAGACAGATGAGATATGGGCAGGGCCTTGTGGAGGCACAGAAGGGACCCAGGCCTGCGGCTCAGCCACTTCCTAGGTGTACAACCTTGGGCAAGCCCCTTAACCACGTTGCACCTCTGTGGGAAACAGCGATAATATAACTGTGAAAATAAGAGAGAATAACTCTGGCCTGGCTCGAGGAGGGGCAGCTCAAAAAGTGGAAGTCCAGGAGGAAAAAACCCACTCTTGGATGTTGAAGAAAATGCAATCGTGGGACTGGACTAAGTGCCCTTTTAAAGATGCTTTCCAGCTCTCAGACTGTTTCCGCATCAACAGATCTGCCCAGGAAGGGGCATTTCACAGACTCGGTAGCTCTTCCCAAGGAGAAAGCCAATGCCTGGTCCCTGGTGCCGTGGGAACAGCTCAGCTGCCCTGGAACCCCAGACATCTCGGGCTCACTCTTCCGCCTCCTCCTTGTTTTTGCTTAAACACCTTGTCCCCTTCTTAGCAAGGCCCACTCTGATCATCGTATTTATTTATTTATTTAAACTATTGTTTTCTTTTTTTTTTAAATAGAGGTACTGGGGATTGAATCCAGGACCTTATGCATGCTAAGCAAGTGCTCTTCCACTGAGCTACATCTTCCCCTCAATCATCGTATTTAACATGACCACCTGTACCCTAAACAATCCTCTCTTCTCGGCTTGACTCCTTTTTCCAGAGCACCTGTCACTTTTCACATTCAACAGTTTGTTGTGTGGACTGTTTATCACTTCCCCTCATTGGAAAGCAGGTCCCCGCAGGCACCTTGGTTTTATTCACACGGTGTCTGGCACTAGCAAGCACTCAGCAAATGTTGTTTGAATGAATTAAAGAGAGATATATTTAGAATGACTGAGAATATTGTGGAGCTTCAAATTTCCCCCTTGTGGTCTTACTCTAGTGTCACTGAAGGATTTCAGTCCTTTGGCCCATGAAGGAACAAGATACTGAGCCTCTCACCAGCAAATCCCAGTAAAGTAGGCCTTAGGAAATCAATTAAAAATAAAGATTATGTGCCAACTGGTTATTTTGGGAGGACGGAGCTGGGGAGCGAGGAGTGTTGAGGAGCACGCTGGTTAGGAGATGACAGAAAACATACACTTCCTGTGCTACATGTATTTTGGTAACGTTTGAATTTGTTTTTTATTTATTTATTTTTTTTACTTGATAACAATTTTTAATTAACATCAACCCAGCTACCTTTAGTTAAAGGTGTTGAAATTGCATGTTATGCGCTCAGTAATGTAACCAGAAGACATGACTGTGATATAACAATTCTTTAAAAATATTACAGTTTATGCATATACTATTTCTTATAGGAGAAATTCTGAAAGGAAAGATGTACTTTACTTTGGAAACAACAACAAAAAACCAACACACTGCTGAGACAGCCTGTCTCTTTCAGTCTTTTCCAGTGATAAGCTACTAAGTCAGAGCTCAGAGGCAGTCTGGTCCTGTCCAGTCCAGGCCCTCCTCGCCCAGCCTAGCAGGCATGTTATGCGAGTGCTTATCGGCTTATTTGGACATTTGTCCTTCTACTTCTGTAATATATACATTTAATGTTACAAACTTCATCTCAGCACTGCTTTTGCTACCTCCCACTAATTTTGATAAATTGTATCCTTGTTGTCATTTAATTCAAATATTTTTAATTTCTCTTGATACTTCTTCTTTGGCCCATGGGTCCTTTGAAAAGTGTGTTGCTTACTTTCCTAATATTTGGGGATTATTTAGATATATTTTTGTTATGAATTTTTAGTTTAATTCCATTTAGTCTGAACACATGCTTTTTTAAAGTGATTTCTATTCTTTTAAATTTGTTAAGGTATGACTTTGTTTTTTAAAAGAGACCCAATTTTTGATAGCAGAAGTGCAAAGATTCTAGTTTTCTAAAGCACAACTTTAAAAGACCCAGAGTGACTTGAGTAATGAGGAAAGCTATAATCTGAGAATAATAAAGGTAATTTAAGAAAGATTTCTTTGAAGGAGAAAATTAGCTAAACGCATTAAGACGCTCACTGTAGTCATACCTACTCCAAGCAGAAACCAGGAAACCCTGAACATCTACACTGTGTATATTACACGTTCATACAGTCTCCTGATTGCATTTCATGACGTCAACAGAAATGATAAACAGGACGGCTGGGTAGTAACAAAATGCAGGGTGAAACAGAAAACTTTTTTCTATTTGAGATTATAACTATATAAAAAATGTGTGTTTGGACATGGGACGTGGGAATACTGGAAACATGAAGATACTTATTCTGTAAGCATAGGAGAGGTCCGGGTGAACTTCCTTCTGTTAAAATTTCTTTTAATGGCTGTCTCTGGGCTACATCCAGGTCACTGCTACAATGCCCTCGTCTCCCTCCCACACCTGGCATGTCAGAGTCATCAGGTGGCTTCAGAGGTCAACAGCCACATCCTTGTGTTCAAGGCTTTCCCACCCCTGCACCTGGGAAGGGCTTGGGGATGGCTAAAGGCTGGGCAAGCATCCCGGGACTGTGGGAGTTCGCGGAAAGGAGCGGACACCAACCTGCTCTCGGGCTCCAGTTTGCAGCAGATGGCGGCCAGCGGGAAGAAGGCTGGAGGGCAGTCTGTGGGGACAAACTTCTCCCAGAAAAGCTTCACGTTGAGGCCGAAGTCCAGTGTGCGCGGCAGGCAATCAGGATCTGCATACACCTGCCCGATGATCTGCAGGTGAGAAGACGGTGGTTAGGAATGGACTACTGACAGTGCAGCCACATGGCCGGGTAGAGGGATGCTGGTGGTGTGGACAGGAGGGAAGGATGGTCAGAAGAGGGAGGTAAAAACCGAGGTTAGAGTGCTGCTCCCAACCCCTATCTCTCCAAATCTTGCTAATCCAGACTTGTCCCCTGAGAATCTGCTTACTGCAGCAGAAGCACAAGGTTCTAAACTGGCCTGTGAAGGGGAAGCTCCCCAACACCCGACCCTGCCCTGTGATGTCCCCTCTGTCTGAGTTCCCTGCCGGAGTTCAGGCCCTGTGAAGCACGCTGCTGGGTCTGATTCATGTCTGAAACCCTTTGGTACCAGCCTAGTGCTCTGTACACAGCAGATGCTCAAATGATCTCTGTCAGAGAAAACATTTTAAAAACCTATTCCAACCGTCCCTTGTCTCTCCTCTACCATTGTCCACTTTGTGGGAGTTACAGAGGCCTCTGAACATATGTGCTCAACTGAGTGTTTCAAGGCAGACTGAGCTAAGTTCCTGAATCCTTCCCAGACTCTCTGTACCCCACAGTGCCTAGCACTTCCTGGAGTGGCCACTTCTACTTGTTGAGCTGAGTGTGGGGGCACCACCAGGGCCTGGGGAGGGGGCACAGAGGGAAAGGCTGCATCTGGCCCAAGAGCTAGGTGGACAGCCCCATGAACAACTTCCTGCCCTTCCCCGTGGAGTTCCGAGTCCCGCCTGCTCCTCGCTGGTTGTGTGACTAAGAGCAAGCTGCTGTCCCTTTCTGAGCCTTAGTTTCCTCACCTGACAAAACCCTACCCAAGCCTTCTCATGGGACCAGTGGGACTCGAATGTGTCAAGAGATCTGGGATAAACTACACAGCCCTCCACTTGTGCTGGTTTTGTGCCAAGTTACTCATCCTTAGGAGGAGGGGCCCCCGGTCTGGGGCGCCAAGCTGCTGGGCCGGCTGATGCAGGCCTGGTCTCTGTGCCGCAGCTCACCTCGCAGAGGACGATCCCAAAGGAGAAGACATCCACTGTCTCATCGTAGCTCTTTCCTTGGGGAACACAGGACAGTTAGGTTTGGTCCCTTATCTGCTCTGCACTGAGTCTAGGGCCAGGCCAGGCCACAGCCAAGAACCAGGGCTAGAAGAGGTTCTGTGGGGATGCCCCAAAGGCTGCCCAGGACAGGCACTATCTGTAAGTCACCTATCCTCAGCCTAGGTGGGCTGCCTTGGAGAGATATAAAACAATACTGCCTAGGATGACACTGCATGGGACAGTCAGAGAGAACTGGACCAGGTTTCATCTGGACTCTGCTATTGCCAGCTGTGTGCTCCCGGGCAAATCCTGAACCTCTCTGGGCTGCAGACTCCAGGAAGAATTGTATCAGACCACATCTGAGGCCCACAGCCATGTGGGGTTCAAGAATCCCAGCTGGCATCTCTGGCTGGTCTGAATTTTACCCACGAGGGGGCAGCACATTTCCGTTCTCAGCACGGAGAGAGCAGAAAAGGCAGTAAAGGCAGTAAATAGCCTGAGTTCTCAGCTGCCCTTGGGGCACTAAAGCCACAGTCAGACCTCACCATAGCCCAGGATGCGGCCCTGGCTGGCTCACAGACCTGAGCTCAGGGAGGGAGGAGACTGTGAGGTCCTGTCCAGCAGGGGACAAAAACCATCCAGCCCTCAGCTGGGTACCTGGCCCTATGCCTCACAGACCTCCCGGGAGCTCCCAGGACTCTGTGGGCGAGATGTGGCCCCACGTCCCCCGCAGGGAGTCAGGACTCACCGTTCAGCATCTCGGGGGCCATCCAGTAGGGGTTCCCCACTACCGTGTAGCGCTTCTTGCGGTCACTCTTGCGCAAGGTACGTCTCTTGGTGGCAGCCTTCTCCACTGGGGGCTTTTTTCTCTCCTCAACTATGAGCCGTGACAGCCCAAAGTCTGCCACCACCACCGTCTTGTCCTGGTAGGACAAGGGCCAGGTCAGGACTTGGGGGGACATTTCCGAAAGAAGCCACTGAGAAGGGGAGAAATGGCATGTGGCAAAGGAGAGTCTCAGCGAATGCTTCCTCGGGAGACTGGAAGGTGGGGCTCCACGTTAGTTAAAGAGTGGAACTCAGAGGCAGGACAGAGGATTTCTTTTGTTTAGTTTTTCTCATCCTGCCTTGTTCCCAGAAAGATTTAAGGCCACGGCTGGAACCAGGATAAGACAGAAAAAGACAAGGTGGTGGCATTCAGCGGGGGGGGGGGGGGGGTGTGGGCGAGATAAGCTCTTCAAATAGCTACAAGGCAGTCATGTGGAAAAGGGATTAAGATTGTTTGGTGTGAGTCCAGAGGGCACAGCCAGGGCCAGCGAGTGGACACCCAGGAAGCTACGCTGCGAGTCAACAGGAGGAGTAACAACACTAGCAACCAGAGCTGACCGGCTAGCAGGAGGAATGCTGGCCCCAAACCAGTCACTGTACATTTATTAGCTCTGTGGCCTCAGGCTGAGGCTTCAGGTAAAATGATGCCACACACAGCTGTAAAACGTGGTCCTCAGTGAGCTGCTTTTACAGGACTGTCACAGGGCAAAATGAGGAAAAGTGACAGGGCTCTGAAGTCCCTTCTAGACAAAGAATTTCAGAGGTGCTACTGGAGGAGGTAGAATTCATCTGCATGTGTTAGGGAGCCCCTAGGAGACAGGGGAGGGCATCAGAGTAGCAGGAAGGGTGGGATGGGGGCCGTAGGCACTGCCCCTGGTCTAAAGCAAGAGGGGACAGGACAGCCAGTCTCCCTAGTGATAAGGAAGCCAGGTGGGACGTACCAGCTTGATGAGGCAGTTGTGCGAGTTCAGGTCCCGGTGGATGATGCACATGGAATGCAAATAGGCCTGGAACGGAAGTAGGAGTGAGGTCGATGGCCAGTAAGTCAACCAGACGCTGACTCCAAAGCTGGGGGCACAGAATGCGTCTCTTCCCAGGCCGTCTATACCAGATGCAGAACCCAACCCCGGACTCCAGAGCGCTCCTGTGTCACACCCTTGTCCCAATGCTGACAGAAAGCCAAGGCCGCCTGGGTTTCTCTCTCTCCTTGCTGCCATTGCCTGCCCACCTCTGTTCATGGACCCCAACCCAGAGGCTGCTCTCCTGAAGTGTTCAACTCCACCAGGCCCTGGCCCTCGTGGGCCCCACCCCTTCTACCCACTTTACTTAGATCCAGGCCAGTGGGATGCACTATGTCTGCCCCTCCCTCCCACCCTCACCCCAGTCTCTGGCTTCAGCCACCCTGGATCCTTGCTGCAGAGGAAAAAGTGACCTCCTCCTGGTCCGGCTGGCCCTGCTCCTGACATCCCCCCACCCTAGTCCTCGCTCTCTGTCTACACGTTAACCTCTACCCCTTTCTACTCAAATGTTTCCCAACTAGTCTCCATTTGCTAGTCCTGGCTCCAGGCCTGCACCTCTGGCTCCTGCCACCCCAGAGCTGCTTCCTATTTTGTTCTCTTCGCTTCCCCAGCAAATGTGGAAGGAGCCACTCCCCCTCCCCAGCCCCTGTAACACCGCTACCACCCCTGGGGCTCCTAGAGCTGCTCGAAGGCCCAGGGTGTGCTTCCTGACCTGCCGGCCACCTCCTCCTCAAAGGCTGCCCACACCTCTCCCATGTGCCCCTCCAGCGGCTGGGTGTCTGCCTTTACCTCCAGCCTCCTCGACGTCAACCCCTCTCAAAGCCCCTTCTTGTCACTGCTGACCCCGTGAACCCCCCCCCCCCATCAGCCTCAGTGGACACCTAGCACTTCCCAAACCTGTCATCACTGCCACCTCGCCAAGTCTGGTAAGCCACACCTCCATTCTTCTAGGCACCTCAAGCCCCACTAGCTCCTCCTCCCCCCACCTCTGATCCCTCACTACTGACCAGCGTCCATTCTGACCCACTGTGCCTCCCGGTCTCCGGGCTCCACAGCCGTACTGTAATTCAGAAACCCCAAATGTTTCATGAGCCCTCAACCCAGGTCTCCCTGCCCTGAATTCACCAACACCACCCCAACTTACTGACCGCACTAGAGTCATCTTTGAAATAACACAGCTCTGGTCACAAAACTTCCTTGCCTAAAAACTTTTATATTTGTCTTTTGGCTTCCTGAATAAAGTCCAGACTCCTCAGCTTAAAACACAGGGATCTTCACGAGTCTAACACTGTCTTCGAGAAACTCATGTGAAGAGCAGGGATTAACATTTCAGGCTAGAGGTCAGAGAGACTGGCCCAAGCTCCGAGCTCCGCCCCGTCCAGCCTCAGCTTCTCGCCTGGACCAGGGCTGTGGTGGGGAGCACTGGTCCCTCAGCTCAGTGCCTGGCATGGAGAACGCACTTGGCAGTTGTCACTGTGACCAGTGTCATCTTTCCCCAGCTACAACAGGGATTTCCTCCTCTCTCCTCCTAGCTCTTTGCTGCTGCCATCACCCCAACCTTGGGCCTCTCTGCTAAGAGGAACTTTCATCCAATTCTGACCCATCCTTCAGGGATCAACCAGAGTGCATTTCCCCGTCTCTGAGTTCCTAGGTGGTGGGTTTGTCTGCTTGCTTCAAGGGCCCTCAGCAGCCGGACACCCCTTGACAGCAGAGCCAGGCCACCCCGGGCTAGCTTGCCTCTCCTGTGCCCTGTTTGCCCTTGAAGATTTGGAATTCTTTGAGAGCAGAGTTGTGAACTGAGGATAGTCAACCAGGGGCAATCTCATTGGCACAGAGAGAAGCTCAGTAAATGGCTGCTGAATGACCCAGCCCTGCAGGCTGCCCAGGATGAGGGGATCTCTGCCTTTCAGTGCCTGCCTGCAATCCTTGTACCTCTCCCGATCCCCTACTCCAGATCCCCCAACCCCCGCCGGCAGTGTTGTTGGCAGGACTCACCATTCCAGAGGCGATGCCTTTGGCAAATCTGACCTTCTGCTGCCAGGGGAACGGATCCTGCAAGAAGGGGGGGGGCCCATCAGAGGCTACTGGGCCCCGACCTACTTGTGTCCAGGCCCCCTGGGCCATGATCTTCCAGTAACCCCTCCCTGCCTGTGCCCAGTCTCGCCCAGCACAGCCCTCTGCAGGCAAAGCAGCAGGCCTCTCTGCCCTGCGGGTCCAGAGTAGTGGTGACACAGGTGTCCCACCAACAACCCACAGCTGTGGGGACTCCGGGGCGCCATGCTCACCACACTGCGCAGGAAGTCTTTAAGCGTGCCCCCCTCGATGTACTCTGTCAGCAGGTTCAGCTTCTTGTCCTTGTACAGCACGCCGATGAACTTGAGTACGTTGGGGTGGTCCAGGCTGCGCATCACCTTCACCTGGGGGGTGGGGGAGCCAAGGAGGCTGGGCGGCTTCTCCCCACTGGGCTGGCTCCTCACCCCTTCCCTCCAGGCAGTCAGCTTGACAAATGTCACCCACCCCTCCCACCTCCTAGCTTACGTGAAGGGGAAGAACACCTCCACGTGGATGGGGACGCCTCCCAGGCTGCACCCTTGGGATCCTGCCTGTCTAGGAACTGCATGGGGGGAATTAGAGTGGGAGGGCCCAAGAGTGGAATGAAGGCCTGAAGGGCAGCACCCAACAGAGCACCTGGAGAGGCGGTGAAAACCATGTCGACGCTCAAGGGGGTCAGTTCTGGGGGCTCCACTGCAGGTTCCCTCAGCAGGGTGTTCAGGTGGTATCACAGCGTCAGGCTGTGCTAAACTGGTCTGTTTTCACGTCCATCACCCACTACTCGGTGAGCTCCTCTGACCCCATCTCATTGCACCCAGCTTGTGCTGTCTTTACTAAGTGTTCTTTGCACAAATAATCATGGTGTCATTTACAGAGGGCAGGGACATTCCTCTAGGGATGTTTCTGCTCAGCCTTAAGAACATGGCTCCAAACTAAATTTCCTCTTGAAACTGTTATTTAGTATATAAGATCTTTCCTCCCCTAACAGTGACATCAGACTCCTTACCCTCCTCCTCTTACCTCAGTCAGAAAAGTCTTCTGTGTTTCCTCATCACACCGAATTAACTCCTTCATAACCATCACTTTGCCTGTGGCTTTGTGTGTCACCTAAAAGGAGGGCGACCGTTAGAGACCGGAGGCAGTTCTGGGCAACTGTGTGAAAATCTATGCAACTGGCCATCACACGCCCTGGAGGACACACTGAAGTAAATGGCCAGATCAGACTGACAGTCCATGTGTGAAGGACACAGCACGGCCACAGGGGACTCAGAGGGGAGCACACCCTCTTCCCTGGAGCACTGGGCATGCACAGAGAAGTGAGAATCCAGAAGAGGGAAGTGTGGGAGGAGACAGGAGGGGATGCTGCCAAGCCAAGCAGGGGCTCTGGTCACCTGACACAGGAGCGAGTCCCTTGGGGGAAAAGAAATCTGGGGGCAGGAGGGTCAGTGCCACAGACATGCACCAGGGAGCTGGGTGGGTCGGGGGTGAGCGTTCCAGCCCCACTGCCCCGAAGGCTGAGACACACAGCTTACCTGACCCCCCCTCCCAGCTCTCAGCAGAGGAGGAGGAGGAGAGAAAGAGAGAGAGGTTAGTCCCCAAGACTGTTCAGCAGGGAGGCAGGAGCCACTCCCAGCACCAAGGCCTCTGGGCACCTAAAAACACCCACTGACTGGAGGTGGGAGGGCCATGGGCAAGCCTGTCCCCACCCGGGGCTCCCAGTCCAAGCTCACTTCAGCAGCAATGCTGCCCTTAGGAGGTCTGAGAGGGCAAGGGTGCGGCCCTCCCACCATCACCTCCAGATGGCAGGGAGGCCTGGTGCCCACAGGGCGTCAGGTGATGAGAAGTCCCTAAAAGAAGGCAGGCTGGGAGGCAGAGGGACAGAGCGGCGGCCTGTGCTCACCTTGATGGCCTGCCCAAAGAAGCCCTTCCCCAGGACCTCCCCGTGGATCAGGTCGCATGGCCGGAAGATTTGCTGTGAGTAGCTGCTGGAGCAGCGGAGAGACTCCGAGCGGCTGATGTCACGGCTGAGCAGGAGGGGCTCCTTTGGGGAGCTGGGGCCAGGGGATTTGGAGATGCTGTTGCTGCGCCTGAGGAGAAGGAAAGACGGGGGTAAGCACAGGGCAGCCCTCAAGAGACCTGCCAGGAGAGCCTGGGGCAGGAACTGTCCATCCCTATGTCTGTAGTTCAGGTGCTGTGATGGGGAGGGGAGTCCAACATCAGACAGGTGTGCAGTCTGGGGCTGCAGGCGCTGTGGTCTAAGCATAGTGAGTCACACTCTGAGCCAGAACCCTGAGTCCTTCTCAACCGAACAAAGGACTAGACTCTACAAGCTGACAGCACTATCGATGGAAACCCACCACCTTCCAGGTCCGCCTGATTCCAGGCCCCGACCAGTTTAGAGCGACAGCCTACCACCATCCAAACACAGATGGGACTTCGGGTATTCTGCTGGTCTTTTGTAGTACCTGTCTGCATTTCCCGAATTTTAAAATAACAACCGTGTATGATTTTTATAGCAATAAAGGCAGTATGTGTATGACATTATCTTTCTTTTTTCTTTTTTTCCCATTAACGGAGGTACTGGGGATTGAACCCATGACCTCGTGCACACCAAGCATGTGCTCTACCACTGAGCTATACACCCCATGCCCCAGTTTATGACATTCTAAAAGCAGCCAGTAATAGTAATGGCTGGTGACTGTCACTTTGGCTTCTTGGAGAAAGGACAAGAAGGTTGAATCCACAGGTCTGCAGGTTAACTGCAGCCCTACAAACTTCTCTCTGGGCCAACCGTGCCCACCGGAGCACATGAGGTGAGCTGCCTGCTCTCCTGCACGATGGCCCTCCAGACATCTGAGCAGCTCTCTGGCCACCCACCCCCATCTTCCGTCTTCAAGGCCTTCTTTATCCCCTGGCGCCCAGCCTCCAGCAGCTCACTCATGCTGAGGCCAAGCCAGCAGCCCAGGGGTGACAGGAGCAACCTGTGGGGAGGGCCGTTTCCAGCAGATTCCAGCCAAGAGGGCCTGAGTGATATGCAGCCTGTTCAGTCGAGAGGGCGGATAAAGAACCTGATTCCCAGAGAAACCTCAGACACCTCATGTTACTGGGCACTGACCCTGGGCCAGCCTGCGCTGCTCTGCATCCTTTTCCACACTGAACCCTCACGTAACTGGGGAGACAGCCACTTTTACCCGGTAGCTCCACTTCACAGATGCAGAAACAGGCTTGCAGAAGTGCAGGGGCCTGTGCAGGGAGGGTCTCGGCTAGAAGGTGCGGTCTGGGTGCGAGATGTCTGCCTCCAGAGCCCTGGGGGCCTCTTGTTCTTCAGGCTCCCTGCCTGGCACCTGCACCCAGGCGATGGCCCCCACTGGACTTGGACAACTCAGGGTTTTGGAGGCTAGTCCCTTAAACCTAAAACAATTTGCATTCACCCCCTACTTTGTAGTTTTCCACACCCTTATTTATATACTAATCCTAACTGTGCCCCTTCTCCAGCCTGTGCCCCGTGCTTCCCTCACAGGTCATGCTGTCCTGTGGGGTCCAGTGTTGCTGCCTTCCATCCGGCTGAGTTCAGTGAGAGCATGACCCTCCGGTTTCTAGGGAAACCTGGCAGACCGCTGGGTCAGATCGCACACAGGCCCTGGCTACGAACTGTGATCCCGGGGGTTGGGGGAAGCTGGGTCAGCACAATTCTCGAAGTCTGTCCCTAGCCAGCTGGTTTCCCTCCTAGCTCTGCTGGCCTCCGAAAGGCAGCTCCACCTCATCTGTGGGCAACAGAGCAGGGCCGGGGTGAGAGGTGGCACCTCAGAGAGCGTCTCCTCAGCGTCCCTTCCAGATTCTCCTTGGTGTCCAGGGTGCTGAGGGAGTGGGAGTGCCCAGCATCCTGCATGTGTGGGGAGAGCCGTGCATCCAGCCGCAGCTGGTCCAGGCGCTGGGAGACAGGGTCATGTTCAATCAAGAGCTGAAGTGTCTGGCTTGTCTGGTTAATTGCATCTTCCACCTGTGGCCAAGAGCAGTGTCAGGCTGGTCGCATAGGGTGGCCCATTGCAGGTCACCCACCCTCAGCCCAGACGACCCAAACGGTGTGGCCTCCAGCTGCCAGTCACCACACGGGGGACGTGCCAGGCTGACACAGGAAGTCACCAGTGGTCACAGGCTCAGTGGCAAGACCAAGACAGACCTGAGCTGGGGAAAGGTAAGGGCCATGGCCTGATCTCCCAGAAGGTCTGCTCCCTGTCCCACCCACACATACCTCCTCCACTCGGAGTGTGCGGACGGGGATCCCGTTGATCTCCAAGATGCGGTCCCCGGGGTGAATGGCATTGCGGTTGTTGGGACTGATGTGCATCCGGTTGACCCTGGGCCAGACAAGAGTTGAGGCAGGGTGAAGGCATCTTAAAAAAGTGCCTGAGCAATTTCACTTGTGCAGGGAGGGCTTACCAGGCCCCAGGCCCCTCCTGACCTCCAAGGCCCAGGCCACTCACAGGGAAAGGTCACACCTTTCATAGGGCATCCACACTCACCCACTGGCCTAAGCCAGAAACTTGGACATCACCCTCCCCATCTGGAGTTCCCTCACTGCCTGCCAATGTTCATCACCTTGAAGAATCATCCATCACCAGAGTCACCAACATCTCTTGCTGGCACCTTGCAACAGCCTCTTAACTGGTCTCTACACTCTAGGCTTGCTCCTCTCCCGCCCCACTTCCACACCAGTGATCCTTCAAAAATGCTGACCTGGTTGCATCACCTTGTTTAAATCCCTCAACAAACCTGCCAAAAGTCTTCATAAGCCAGGCAACCTGTCACTTAACAGTCTCCGCTCTGGCTACTCTTAAATGCCCAGTCTACACTAGACATAGCCACAGACTCCCACCTCTGCCTTGAACATGATTCCCTCCCCTCTTCACCTGACGAGGCTTTAGCACAGACCTTCCTCCTCTGGACCTCCCTGACCCTAGCACCTCCCACCTCTACTGCAAACACCCAGTGCCTGCCTGCATGGAGCAAGTGCACGACCACAGTCTGCAGGGTCGGCAGCCATATGTGCCTTGTGACTGGTATGAGATGGACAGACTCCTTTCCCATCAGGTGACTGAACTGGACCTAGGATGGAATCTTAGTCTCTTTCTCCTCCTTCCTCCATTCATTCACTCAACCAACGAAACGATAGTCTACGCACACCACTGTATGCTGGGCACTGTTTCAGGCCCTGAACAAGTATTGAACAAGACCAAGTTCTGGAAGGAATTCGTGGGGAGGACAGATGATAAACAAACTAATACGCATAATCAAGCCAGACAATTTCAAAGAGCAAATGTGATCTAGAACTTGGCAAGAGAAAGGTGAGTGATTCTGCCGTTAAGCATCTGGTGGGAGGCAGCCCAGGCAGGGAGAACAGTAAGTAAGTGTCAAGGCCTGGGTGCGGTGATGGCACAGTGAGCCCAGGAGGAAGAGCAGAGGTGGGGATGCGGGGAGCTCTGCTGAGACTCTGGAGTTCTCAGCCCCTCAGGGAGCCCCGCCTCGGGGGTCTCAGGACACTCACTCTTTTACTTGCACAGTGGTGGCATAGTTGGAGCAGGCACTCTCCACGGACACGGAGAAGCCCCGCCTGCCCTCCGTGGTGGCCGGCATGGAGATGTGTGTGACGGAGTAGGGCAGCTGGTCCTGGACAGACTCTGTGGATAGCCTCTCAAACATGGGGGCCAGCACCACCTCATTGTGGCATTTCCCGCTGCGGGGAGGAGCAAAAAGGGGGCTGAGATCCTGAAGCCCCGCCTTGAAGCCCCCAGCAACCCCATGGCTTCAAGCAATAATATCCATAGCCCCACAATCACCGTCCTTGCTGAGATTCCAGCAGGCCACTCAGAAAGCTGCCTGGGCTCTCTGGAGCGGACTAGCACCTGGGGTGAGAGGGCCTGGGTTCTCCTCACCCTGCCTCTGCCTCACGAGGAGAACTGGGCCTCTGCCTGTATGTCCTGGGGTCTGTCTCCAAGAGCCCCCTCCCAGTCATTCTGCCCCTCTGGGAGGAAGCGGAGCAGTGGCCTTATTCTCACAGTAGGACACAGGGCAGAGAGACTTTAATCGTCTTGCTTGCAGCTTTCAGAGCCGGTGAAGAGTGCTGACCCCCCGGCAGTCTTTCTGCCCAGCGCACACTGCCATTTGCCCCCTTCTCTCAGTCACTCTTGCAGGGAAGGGTGGACAAAGGGCCGATCTTACCAATAGAGGCTGGCGTGCTGCACCAGGGCGTACGCATCCCCATCTTCAATGATCACCTTGCAGCTCATACAAGCGAAGCACTCTGGGTGGTACTTGAACTCCCCAGCCACCTGTGAGCAGGTGGGGAAAAGGGTGGACAGACGGAGGAAGTGAGTTGTCACTGTTGCTGGAGCGAAGGTAGGGGTGGGTGGGTGAGGGACATCCCATCAAGGGTCTACAGACCCTAGTCGTAATCTACCTTTGCACTCCCTGCCCTACGTCTTCCAGAGAAAGTGTTAGATTGCTGCCTCCCTGTCATTGCGGAGACTGCAAAAAGCTCTTTTGGTCTCAGCCATGGAAACAGGGAAGTAACCGCCCCGACTAGAAACGCTCCCAGTTCCTCCAACACAGGGCTGGCAGGTCTGTGACTAGATTTAGAGCCCTTAGGAGCAGGAAGGGGAGGAGGAACCTCCTCCCTTGGCCAGCCCATTCCAGGGTCTCCTTTTCTGATTCATGGGACACATCTTAGGTATAGCCTCCTCTCATCGACCTGGAACACCCCCCTTTAAGGCCCTTGTCCCATTGTACTGTGGCTCCTCCCTCCCTGCCTGCTTCCTCATCTACCCCAACACTGAACTGTTAAGTCTTTGAGGGAAAGGGCTTACCTGGCACTTACTAGGTGCTAAGGAAACATCTGTTAAGTGATTGAATAAATAAAGGGAGTGACCTCAGCTGATGGGAGGACCAGAGGTGAATGGCCGTGGGAAACAGGAGGCACTGGCAGTGGGCTCCGGTGACCAGGAGGGCGGGGTGGGGGGGCTCACTCACCATGACGGGCCCTGTCATCAGCAGAGAGCACCCGTGGCAGAACTCCCCAAACTTCCCCCAGTAGTCCTTGTGGCAGTAAAGCTTGCCATCCTTCTCGTAGTACCAGTTGGTGAGGGAATCCTGGCATTCTGAACACCTGAAAGGAAAACAGGAACAGAAACCCTCCTGGATCCTTGGAACGAGGCTACACAGGCTACCCCTGGTTCCCAGGCCTAACGATACAGTGGAGACACCTCCATCTGAGCCAAAGCCAGGATAGGGGAAAGGCACAGTTTGCTGCTATCTTCTTAAAGGAGGCCAGTTGGAGGAGGGAACAGGACCCTAGAAATCAGCTCTGTCCCACCTGCCTCAGCTGCAGACCAGCGTTCCTCAACCTTTCTGAGTCTTGAAGCCCTTTGAGAATCTAATTAACAGCCAAGAAGCCTCTCCCAGAAAAATGCACATACAAGGAAGATGTGCATACAATTTAGGTTATGGGGCACCTGTGTGTCAAGGATTGAAGCCTACTCATGGCCCCAGTTAAGAACTTCTGGTCTAGACAGATATCGCGATGAACCAAAGAAGCTTAGTCACCTCCACTCTTCAAAACCCGCCCACTACCCACAGCATTACTGATGCAGCATTCTTGAGAAAAGTATGTTAAGCATAAAGAAACAATCAGGCAAATCCAGAAGGGGGCGGGTCACTGTATAAGACAACTGGTCTTGACTCTTCCGAAGAGCTAATGTTATGGGATGTCATGGGGTTAAGGCACAGGGATTAAAAAAGCCTAGAGACACAGAAACCAAATGCGATACCTACACCTTGGACTCGATTCTGGATTGAAAAAGAAAGTAGCCATGAGTAACATTTTGGGAATATCTAAGGAAATCTGAATTTGGACTATACATTAGATTATGCTGTGAAATTACTGTTAATTTTCTTAGGTGTGATAATACTTTGATTATATAGAAGAATTCGTAGAAAAAATATTAAAGTAATAATTAAGGGGAAAGTCAAGATACCTGCAACTTAAACAGTTCAGTAAAAAATAAATGAATAAAACACAGTGTGTGTGTCTGTGTATAGATAAAGTGGCTTAAAGTTAACCAATGATGAATCTAGGTGAAGGTGTTCTTTGAACTATTCTTTCAACTTTTCTATGTATTTGAAAATTTTTCAAAATAAAATATCAGGGAGGGAACAAAACTCCATTAGCACTGTGCAAGACGTGCACGTTAGCCCCAGCTCCTCTCTCCACCGGTCACCCTGGGTCAAGCTGGGCTGGTCTCGGGCCACATTTGCACAGATACGCTCCTCCTCACGTCTGATCCTGACACCCACTGGGCCCATCCCACCCCTTTCCTCCTTGTTAGCAGACTGTCCATTCTTGTCGTCAGGGCCTCGCACCGCCCACGCCGCCCATATCCTTGCTCCTGAGAGGCAGGGTGGAGCTGCCTCTTTGTCGGAATCCTGACCCTGCCACTTACTAGTTATGTCATCTTGGGCAAGTTACTGCACTTCTCTGACCCAGTTTCCTTATCTGTAAAGTGAACGTGAAATGACGTGTATTAGAGTATAGGTACTTTACATGAAAGGCCCAGCGCAGTAGCAGGTTGGTAAGTGTGAACTACTATGAAAGATGATGGTGATAATGGAAGCTACATTCCTGGCCACTTACTGCCACTAGCTGGGTGGCTTCTGGACAGCCTCTCTCCATAGCTTTTCCTCACTGACAAAATGTGACTAACAGTATCCAGTACAGAGAGCCACTGTGAAGACTAAGTAAGTTAATATATCAGGAAAGCCCTTTGCAAACTATGAAGGGCCAGGCAAGTGTATTATTATAGTAACTTGGCAGGCACTACAGAGAGAAAAGACAGATTATATAAACTGCCCTACTCCATTTTCCAAGAGCTTATAAAGAGTTGGGGAAGAGAAAGTCTACACAGTACTTAATTAACAATGCAAGGTGAGAGGCCATGATGGGGCTTCTGCCAGGGGCCACTCCCACCCTGCAGCACCTCCCACTTGTCCTTTTGATGCTGAACCTCAGGGTCCTAAGAGCCGGGTCTGGCGTGACAAGTATGGGTATGAAGTGCCCAGAATGATTAAGCAAGAACCACGAGTTACAGGAGGCGGACGGGAAGACCTGTCCCGGGCACGCAGCTCAAACTCCTTTCAACGTAAAGGCTGGATGAGCTCTGAAGCGGGAGGAGAGAGACCTGGGTTCAAGTTCTTGGGAACTACATGCCCCTGGACAAGCCCCTTTCCCTCTCTGGACCCACTTTTCCCACCTATAAATGAGAGAATGAGACAAAGACTTTCCCCTGGACGATCCAAGGCTCAAATCCCAGCACCACTTCCCACCTAAGTGATCCAGGGCCAGCTGCTTCACTCCTCATTTGTGAAATGGCAACATGACCACCGACTCTGAGGGTAGCAGGAAGGACTAAATTTGGTTCTGGGTGGCTGTAGGTGCCTGGCAGAGGGCTGGCACTAGAAGCAGGGGCTTCCTTCCTGCCTCCCACCTTCTCACTGAAAGCGCCTGACCACCTGTCTTCCTCCTTCACCACACTGAGCGCTCCCTGAGGACAGGACAGCATCCCTCTCACTCCTGGTAGACTTAGTACCTCGTAACGGGCCTGGCAGAGTAAGCTCTTAGCACATGTTTCTAAACTGAAAATGGTGGGAGTGGCAAACCAGCAGTCCAGGTGGGAGCATGGGGGTTCTATGGCTCAGGTCACCGGGACCCGTCCTTCTCCTGGCTGCAGGGGAGAAAAGCTGGTGAAGACACACCTGCACCGAACTATAGGCCTGGGCCCTGTCACACCCTCGGGATGGTATGTGCGCTGCAGGGCCCGGGAGCACCAGAACATGTCCTCCTTTCCACTGCCAATATCCTGCTTTTGTTGCCCCAGCCAGGCCCAGAGAGGAGCAAGTGCAGGCACGCAGGAGAGCCACGCCAGCCTCCTGCGAGGAACACCTGGCTGGAGAGCGACACCCCCCAAGACACACGTCTGTGTCAAGGAATGTCTCAAGGGCAAAGCCAGAGCCGGCCGCCAGTGTCCCTGAAGAGCAGGAAGGTGAACAGCTGATGGAAGGACTGGCTGCGGGTCCCCAGGCTGCTCTGTCACAGAACACAAGTGATTCCAGGCCCCTGGAGAAGTTGCCGGGCAGACCCAGAGTCTCAGCTCAGATATTAACAACGGCTACTGTTCCACAACTGCTAACCATAGTCTGGGCGCTGCATGAGGTGTCTACTTATGTGAGCTCTAATTCCAACCATACCCCTAAGGTGACAGGATCATCCCTGTTTCACAGACTAGAAGACTGAAATTAGAGTCAAGTCACTTCTGGAAAGTCGCCCAATACACACACCATGGAGCTGGAATCTGAACAAACGTGTGCTTGTCTGTGAAGCCGTTTCCACTGACGGCACGACATCCCCCGTGTGATGCACACCCCCACTCAGCCGGAGCCCTGAAAGCACACGCCCCTTGAGCACTTAACACCTGGTGACGCTGCTCCTTAAGCCCAAGTACCCATGTTAAATGCACGAGGACTCTTCTCCTCCACTTAGTCCACAGTGGTCTCCGCCCTTTTAAGAAAAGAATCCAAAATACACTCTGGAAATGCGAGGTGCGACTCAAAAAAAAAATCCCACTTACATTGTACAACACAGGGAATATATACAGGCACTATTTTATAATAACTATAAATGGGATATAACCTTTAAAAATCGTGAATCACTATGTTGTGCACCTGAAACCTATATAACGTTGTACGTCAACTATACCATAATAAGAAACCACTGACAAAAAAAAAAAAATACCCACCTCAAGTTCTCAGGGGCGATGGCCACAATATGTTCTCCCCAAAGTCGAAGCTTATTTCCAGCTTTCAGTTTTTGAAAGTTCCAAGTGAAGGTCAATGTCTGCCCAGGCTGCAGGCCTGGGAGCATCCAGCCTGGAGGTGGTGGGACTGGTGCTGGAGCCCAGACCCCAGGGCTGAGGCATCAGCCATCCACACTCTCCTGAGCAGTGAAACCCCCAGCCAGGGGTGATCTCTGAGAGGCCCACTCACCTTGAGGACAACCTCCAGGACTCTTCCCAAGCACTACAGGGAGCCTGGGTGGCTACAAAGTGAATCGAGCCGTCGTGGTCAGTTCAATGGGCAGCTCAGACCCAAACTGAGGCCTTTTAAGTTAGCAGGGAACACACAGGTTAAAAAAAAAAAATCAGCTGAGATTCTCACAAATAACTTCTTACAAAGCATGGGTTCATATTTTTTCTTTGCTGTTTACTATGTGTGTCACCGAAAGCCAGTTACTTCATGACTCTGGGCCTCAGTCTCCTCATCCGCACACCGGTGATGATAAAATCTCAAGGGGTTATGAGAATTAAAATGCCTAGCGTGATGCCTGGCCAACAGCAGGTGCCCAGCAGGTCCCACTCCCCCGCCTCCCTCTTTAATTTGAGAACACCAAGGGTGAAAGGAAACAGACCCCTTTCCCTCCCACGCCCAAGCAGTAGGGACCTGTTTCTTGGCCCAGAACCAAACAGATTTCTGGAAGTAGAGAAGATCCTAAAATGAATTATTTGTCTAGCCAACTAGAAATCTATTGATTATTATCAATTCCTACCAATTAGGAAATAGCTACTGTGCATCTAGGATGTGCAAGACCAAAAAGGCAAGGTGCTGGAAGAAGCCAAGTGAGATAAGATAGAGGCCCAGCCTTCAGTCACATGCAAGTTCTTCAGACCAAATGTTTACAGGTAAATTTTCAACCTTATGTGGTAAGAGCACAGAACAGCCACTATTACAGTGAATTTGCACAGGTTAAAGAATAAGCCCTCCCATGTCCTGGTGACTGCCTGGTTGGATGCTCAGCCTTAGCCTCCTAAATGAGCAGAAAACAGCTGGGGAGAAGCTTCTTCCAGGCCCTGCCTCTGAGCTCTGACTAGCTGGATGGGAGACTGGGCAGGTCTCTGCCCTCACCTGAGAGTGTCACGCCTGGGGATGCCAAGTCTCCCCCGGGCCCTGGAGGGCAGACAGACCAGGGCCCTCGAGACTCTGGTCCATCAGAGCCCAGTCTTCTACCACCACAGACCCCTTTATTACCTCTCCTGCCTGCAGACCCTGTAGACAGGCTGTCAGTTAAGTTGTAATTATTATGGAATATGGTATTATCCTGTTTGAAAAAACTAACCAAATACATAATAAGCCTCTGATCAGCAAGAAATAAGTGTTGCCAGAGTGCGTTATTCAGTTCCAATCAAAAGCCAGGAAGCCTATAGTTGCAAAGTAATCTGCGCAGTTGCACTGCAGTTAGGAATAGAGCCTTCGTTACTTGGGAAAAATTGAAAAGTGCTTGTGTGTCTCTGAGGAGCCTCATGGGTTGCACAGTTGGGAACCATTCAACTGATTCAAGTCCTTCATTTTTCGAATGAGGAGGGAAAGGATCCCAGGGGACCTAAGGCACCTTCCAAATGTTACTGCCAAGCTGGGCAGGGTCAAGAATAGTTTTTCCTGTTAAATGTGGGTTGCTTTACACCAAGATGAACTTGTTTTCCTCAAGAGACAATATGTAAACCAAACCCATTAAGTCAATGTTGGGCATTAAAGGAAGATCTATAAAAAGAAAAATCCTTGAAAGATGTCAGACAAAAGTTACTCACAATTTACTTCTTTATAAAATCCAATTTGAGGTGTTCTCTTACTTGCGCGCACATAGTAACTGCATCTCACCCCTCACACCAGAGGAAGACGGCGCACTCTGCTGAGTGAGATCTGCCAGGCAGGGGTGCCAGGGCACAGAAATCATTCTCCATCCCTGCTCCCTCCTCCCTCCCTTGTGCGTGGTCACGCCCGATCTTGTCCCTGTGGAATCCGGTTGCATCACTCTCCTTGCAACCAGAGCCCCAGAACTCCTGTGGGTTCAAGGTCTGGGGTCAAGGACTTAATTTGTTCCACAGAACCTGGCAAGGGTTGTGTTCAGGGGCCCAGGAAGTGCAGTCCCTGTGCTCTGCGAAGGAGAAAACTGAATTCCAGGAAAGGGTCAGGCACCTGATGAGAGAGCAGCCCATGAAGACACCCTGTAATAAAGGATGGGGCAGGCAGTGACACTGGTGACTAATTAGACTGCTACCTGGGAGAGCAGAAAGTCTGGGTGGTCCCTCCCTGGGGGCACAGAGCCCCATGTGCGTGTGTGTGGCTCTCTCTTCAGAAGTGGCTTCAGGAATGTGGCCTCTTATCTAGGGGAGGGGAGAGGGTCTATGGCACATCAGTCAGTCAGTCAGTCAGTCGGTCCCCAGACTCCAGCTGGGCAAATAGAATTGGGGGGAGGGTTGTCAGGTTGCCCAGAGGGGGTGGGGCAGAATAAGACAAAGGACAGGCAGACTTGGGTGGTGTCAGTGGCCTGGCCCTCAAAGGTTCAGGCTGAGAGTTCATTATCTCTCTAGCTCCTGTCTTGGCCCCAGAGATTAAAAGGGGCACACATTCCTGGCTTATAAGGGAACAACCCCACCCCACCAAGCTGCCTATTCAGGATTAAGAGGAAGAGGGATTAATGAGGCCCTGGCTTAAACTAGTGGCTGCTTTAAACACTTGGCATCTTGATTCCATGTTGTAAAACCTGCCTCCTAAACACAAGATCAATTCCCACTAGCTCTTCCAAGGAGAACCTCTGCCATCCCTTCATATGCCAGGCAGCCATGGGGACCCTTTTTCTGCTCTCTCTCTCTGCTGGGAGAGGAAAGCAAACCCAAGAACGACCCTGGTGAGGTACAGGCAGGGGAGGTGCAGCCTCCTGAGGATGAGAGAGGAAACTCAGGATGACAGATGAGGCTGGCCAGAGACCCCACAAGTTAACACTGCTGAAACCAGTTGCTGCCTCTGTAAAATGGGGATACAAAATGTCTTGAGGCTGTTGAGAGACGGAGGGATAAAGTGCGTAGCAGGATGCTTGGCAGAGTCAGCCCTGAGGACCAGCTCCCACCCTCCCAGGTCCCCGAGCCCTTGCTCAAACCCAGGGGTTTCCCACCACTCCACCAGGGGCTGGTAATTCTGTGAAACCACATGGTGTTCTGCTTTTTCTGCCCAGGACACGGCCACCTGACTAAGTATCCCAGCAGCGAAGTCTGGGCACGGGGCCGGGCTTGGGAAGCCAGAAGGGAGGAGTCGACCAGGACCACTGGTGAGGGGAGGCAGACCTGGGAACAAGCTGCTCCCAAAGAATGAAAACAAGCCCCACCCCAGCCAGGAATGGCTCCATTCAGTAGGGACCCAGAGGGCTAGAACCCCCTGGGGAGTTTCTGTTGGAGGTGGGGTGGGGCAGAGAGCGAAGGAAGGCAGGTCAGAGGTAGACAGAACGTTTCCACATCTCCCTCTGCTAAGGCCCACAGAAGCTCAGGCCTGGGGACCCAGCAGGCCTGGGGGCTAGCCCCAGAGCATAGGTCACACCAAAGCCAACTGCCCAGGTCTCACCTGCCCAGGCCTTTCCCCAGCAATCTTACTTGCCAGGGAGAGCAGAAGCCCTTAAAGGCCAGAGGCAGAGGTGAGAACAAACGTGTGTAATGAGAGTGCCTATGGTGTACAGGCTGCCCACACCCAGGCCTTGCCAGCTTCCATGCTGTTTGGCAAAACCTGCCTCTCCTGCTTGTTGGGACAGATTCCTGGGCAGGCGGCACGGCTGGCAGGTGAGACACGTGAGAGCTGGAAGGACAGCACCCTGTCTGTGCTCCTTCCCCGGAAGCAGTAGCACCAAGAGCAGGCCGGTCAGTGGCACCTTCTGGAGGCTCTTCCAGGTGAGTCAGAGAAGCAAGGAGAGCCCGAGCTCCCCTGGGGCTGCCCCCTGGGCCCACCCCTCACCTCACCATTCCCAGAACATGGTGGGGGGGCCTCGGGTAGCCCGGCTCACTTGGGAGCAGCTTCTACTGGCTCCTGCCTGACAGAAGCCACAGTCAAAGGATAAATGAAATCCGAGAAGCAGATTCAGGGAGGCCTCTGCCCGCCCCTCAGGACCAGGGGCCCAAAGAGGAGGTGGGGCAGGGGACTGAGAGTCCAACTCACCGAAAGGGGTCTCTGGAGGTGAAGTAAGCCTGGATGGACAAGTAACTCCCCATCTTCTGCCCACACCAGATAAGCACGCTCAGCTGCAAACCCGCCTGGGAGAGCCTCCAGCCGGCAGCGGACGGCCACCATGACAGGCCCAGGGCTCCGCACCGCTGGCTGTGGGCTGGCTGCCCGGCGCTCACCTCTCCCTCCGGAGCGGCTGGAGAGGCGTGAGCACTCCGGGCCCCTTGCCCCCCGGCAGACGCCCGTAGGGTCTCATGGCGGGGAGGGTTCCTCCCCGGTTCTCGGAAGCTGGGCGGTCCCTCAGGACTCGGGAGAAGCACCTCTCTGCGGAGGCTATGCGCACAGAGGCATTCCTGGGCAGGGGCCGGTGGCTAGCTAGAAAGAGGCGCTGCTGTCAAGTTAGCCTTCTTCTCCAGTCCCACCCCTGACGGGGGAGGGAGGGAGGAAGGGGAGGGGCTCCGCGCCGAACGAGGTGTGTGGTTGGAGCAGCTATTAGGAAACAGACCTTGCAGGCAAGGGGTGGAGCTGAGCTGGAGGGAGGATGCAGGCAGGCGCTGCAGACAATGACCAGGACTGGCTGAGCGTCCATCCCTGGGCTCAGGGAAGGGCAGGGCCGGAGAGAGGGTGAGCACATGTGGCCCAAGTGTCCCCAGCCTGAAGAGCTACTCCAAGGACAGCAACTCTGCTCAGAGGTGAAGAAAAGCATAGGATACCAGCTCCAGGTCAAGCCACACCCCCAGAGAGGGGCCTCTGGCAGGAGGCAGGTCCAGAGAAAGCTGCCCTCTGGGCTCTCTGCTCTGGGCTGGCATATACTTAGTGCTAGCGCGTTGGTCCCCATTCATCCCTTCCCTCTGCCTGGCTTGCGGACAGCTCCAAGAGCTGCTAGCAGGGGCTGCTACTCCACCTGTGGGCAGAGCTGCACTGCAGACTAGGAACAAGGCCCAGAATGTTAACCGACACCTGCCATTTCTCCATGTGGTAAACGCCATACAACACTCTTATTTCTCCGACAAGGGAATTATCTCCATGGTATAAACAAGGAAAGTGAGGTACAGAGAGATTAGGTAACTTACCCAGGGCCAGAAAATTAGTCAGTGGCAGTGCTGGGATTTAAATGCAGATTCAAAGAGAAACACCTCCCTCAAAGCCCTTCTGCAGGTAGAAGGGAGCACAGGGACTGGAGCCAGGTCACCCGTCCCCTCTCTCTTTCATTTCCAGAATGCCAGCCATCGGCCTCAGCAGGCAGTGGTGCTTCTTCCACTGTGTCCATGGTAACCAAGCTTCTCAAACCGAAAAGCAGGGCACGATGGAGGACAAGGCCCAGGGTGCCTGTGGGGAATGACTGGCCAGGTATCTGGAATGGGGGCTGCATGAAGAGCCCCAGCTGCTCTGACCAAACCAGAGCCCACCATCAGGGGAGCCCCAACCTCCCTGGCCTGCAGAAGACTTAGGCACATCCAGACCTCACTGCTGGGCTTGAGGGAGCAACACCAGCTCCCTCCCACCAGGCACACACTCCTCGCCACTGAAGTTACCCTGTCACCACGAACAGGAAAGCCTGTGGCAAAGGTGGCGGCTGGATGTCAAAGCCTTTTCCCATTCCTGGACTGATTGAGCACACGGATAACAAAGAATGTGATAAGAGATGGTGTTTGCACCCTGCTGTAAGCTAGCATTTCTGAGCACTTAGTACATTCCAGGCCCTGTGCTAAGTGCCCTGCATCTGTTCTGTCATACTTTAGTGACCAATATTTGAGGCAGATGTTATCACCCCCATTTAACAGAGGATGAAACTGAGGTTCTGAGGGTTGTGTCACTACCCTGAAGACAAACAGCTGGAGGAGGGGAGCTGGGTTTCAACCTAGTAAGAGTCAGGGTTGAGACATTTTTTTCTGTAAAGAGCCAGAGAGCAAATATTTTAGGCTTTGCAGACCTACAGAAATACAGACTCTGTCATAGATACTCAACTCTGTCACAGCTACTCAACTCTGTCACTGCAGCACAAAAGTGGCTGTCTATAAAATGTAAACAAATGGATGTGGCTCTGTTCCAATGAAACTTTATTTATGGACACTGAAATTTGAATTTCATGCAATTTTCATGTGTCACAAAATATTCTTTTGCTTTCCTCCTTCAACCATTTAAAAATATAAAACTCTTCAGCCGTACAAAGACAGGCAAGGGTCCAGAGTGCTGACCTCTGCTCCACAGGCAGTGCACTCAACTACTCTGTTGACGGCCTCCAACAGCAGAGACCAGCTTTTGGCATCTGTGCAGAACTCGGCCACATGCATCCCTGCCACACAGACGCCACACTCCAGCCCGAGGCAGCCAGCGGGGACTGAGCGCTGGACGAGTGCTGCCCCAAGTACTGCTCGAAGCACTTATGTATGTGAATGAATTTTAACCTACACTAGCTGATAGTGCTGTGATTTCCCCCTTTTCTTGGAGGAAGTGAGGTACACAGACTTTAAATCCAAGGTCTCCCAGCTGTGTACGTGAGAGGTGAAGCCAGGATTCGAACCCAGGCTGCCGATGCTGAGCTCGACCACTGCTCTGCTGGAGCCCAGCCTGGGCCCGCAGCCAGACTGTCTGGGTTTGAATGCGACAAGGCCCTGCACGTAAGCCCTTGGCACTGAGTCTGGAACACATTAAGAGGTGATAAATGTTAGCTGCTAATATCATTAAGACTATTGTTACTACCACTATGGGCTAGCTATGTGGCCTTCAGCAAGCTGCTGTCTCTGTCTGGGCCTTGGTGAGGTCTCTAAATAGCTTCCAGCTTCAACGTTTTCAGCCCTGTGAGGTTGCAGAGGGCTCTCTGTTTTCCTTGGGTCTAGAGTTTAAAGCTCTTGAGCTGGCCCTGAGGGGATCAGGATCCAGGCCTGGGGGCCGCACACGAGCCACAGAGGAGGCGGGGTGGAGTGGAAGCAGGGACAACACACAGGACACCAAAAAGCCTGCCCAGCTAGAGAGCTGGGAGCTCTCTTTCTTCCAGCGACAGGGCCAACTATTTCTCACTAAAAATCTATTATGTTCCCCTGTAATTCGATCGGGCAAGAAGGGGGCCCCAAATTAAGTCTGGAACTAGCAAATTATCTGCTAATTGCACCCTCTGATTTCCATCTGATGAACAGAGTGCGGATGGAAGAAAATACAAGCCACAAAGAGATGGGGCCAGGGAGCCCGTGAGCATAACTCCTCCTGACATCTCACACAGCTATGCTGTTCCAGCGGCCGCGGGCGCAGTGAGTCGGTGTCTAGGAATGCAGGAGGCTGCAGGCGTTCTCCAGTCCCCCCACCCCAGCTCCCCGCACAAAGGACTCAGTGGGTGGGTGGGTGTGTGGGGAACCAGTGTGAGGATTCCTCAATGCCACAAAACTGCACCCCCACCGAAGACGTGTGGCTGTCTCCCCGTGTCCTGAGCTGAAGTGCAGGGCTCTCCCAGGTGGAGTCTGCCTGACCTCTCTAAATCCAGATCTCAGGAGGGACCAAGAAGGACAGACCACCAGAAGTGAGAAGCTGCTGGCCACTCAGACCCCAGAGTGTGGCTCCCTGGGGCCAATTTCAAAGGCCCAAACCCCCCAGAACTGGGAGGTAGAAGGTCACAGTGGAGGCTGTATTTCCACTGCCTGCCCTTGGATACTAGTCCCAGATGGAAAGCTGCTCTTCTGGGTTCCAGGTGGGGGATTCAGAAGTTACGGTTGCCAGAGGCAACAGGAGGGACACTTGGACTGGCAGTTACGGACGGGATAAGATGGCAGGAGAGGTACTAATCTCTTACTCGTTTCACAAGTTAGAAACCTGGCGGAGAGCCCAGCAAACCGACTCCTCAGAACCAACTGAGACTCAGGGCTTCAAGGTGGCTGTGAGAGGCTGGAGAAGACCGGCGGCCCCAAGTGAGCGCTCTGGGGGGCAGTGGTGAATGCATGAATCACCCCAACCTCTTCTCAGAAGGAGGCTCTGGTCAGATAACCTGAAGCCCAAGGAACTGTGTCTGTGTGGGGCCCTCTATTGGCCGGGAGGACTCCCACCAGGGACGGGGAGCTCGAGGACTGCGGCTTCTGAACCTTGGAAAGTGAGCAGTGTCACCCCGTTTGCTGGCTGTTTTTACTGCCTCTGCTCCCCCTCACTTCAGGCTCACTTTCCACACTACAGCAGCAGTCGGCTTTCAAAAATGAGAGTCCCAGCAATTCTACTGCCAGAAATTTTGCCCAGAGAAATATTCCTACAAATGTGCCAAGATGTGTGTCCAGCATGGTTTAGTACTAAAAGATGAGGAACAATCCATGTGTCCATCAGTAGGGGTGGGCTAACTACAATCCCACAGCCATGCAACACAATACTATGCAGCTGTTAAAAATAATGAGGTAGGGGGAGGGTATAGGTCAGAGGTAGAGCACATGCCTAGCATGCACAAGGTCCTGGGTTCAATCTCCAGCACCTCCATTAACATACATACAATACATACACTTAATTACCTTCCCCCACAACAACAACAACAACAAAAAATGAGGTAGACTTTAGGTCCCAAAACAGAAATTGTCCTGGGTAAGGGGTTATGTGAAATCCAGGCATCAGAGAGACTGTGTGGCATAATCCCACTGTTTCAAAAATCAATGCACACAATCCTTGGAGACCATCTGGCCAACTCCACCACACGGATCAGTTTCTCTTTAGGGTAGCAGAGACAAGAAGCAGGGATGACACACTATTCTTTTTCTACCTTTTTGATACTGTTTACATTTTTTCTTACACTGAAGTGCTGTTTTTTCAAATGATAAATGAACAACAACAAAAAGAAGTCCTATGGTTTAGAGCAAATACCTCCTCACACGTTTTTGCTGGTGCTCCTGTCCAAAGGCAAAGCCTGCCTGCCTGGATGCCCTGCACTCAGGACCCTGGGGCAGTCTCTTGGCTTCCCTCCTAGGGAAGCTGGCCGCCTCCTGTCCTGCTCCACTTCCCAGAAAGGCCATGCAGGCTCTCCCCTTGGGCAGTCCCCAAGCCTCTGCTCCCTTAGCTCCTTCTGCAGCCCCCTCCGTCTCCTACTTTTTCCAGGCCCACCTCCAATGGAGCACTCAGTCTCCTCTGGAAGGGGTTCCCCTGACGTGTCCCTAAGCACATCTCACACAGGAAGGGCTTGGAGCCCGCATCTGTCCACCTCCAGGTCAAATACAGGCGCCCACACCTGGCGCCTGCAGATGCCCAGTAAATAAGCATAGGATTCAGGAACTCTGTTAGGAACAACTTCTAGAAAAGGGATGATAACTAACGTCCACAAGAGACTTTCAGTTTACAAAGGACTTTTATTCTCATCATCTCATTTAGTCCCTACAACAACCTGGCAAGGGGTATGTACGCACAGACAGGGCAAGGGAAGCCCAGAGAGGTCAGGCAACCCAGCTGAGGTTACTG